CTTAATCAGTAGTTCCGTTATGAGTACCTCTTCCATTCTCCAACTCTACCCGTTTTCTTCTGCGCTCAACACGAGAAAGTGGGTGGTACTGGTAGTTGCAGCACCCCTTCTCCTCCATCCAACCACTTTCGTCAATTTCTGGCAGGCCACACGTTCCGCAAAATCTGAGGAGGCCCGATGCAGTCTCAGCATCGTCAAAGTCGTACTCCTCCTCATCACCTTGCTTGTGATGGGAGTTCATGACTCGCCTCCAAAGCTCCCTGAAAGTCAGAGGCTTCGGGGGAAGGATGGCATCAAAGGCAATCATATTGTTCAAATTCGCTTCTTTCGACTTTGCACTTTCTTTCGTGCATCTTGATTTGGAGAAAAGGAATTTTTCTTCAACATGAAGACAAGACCCATCTGGCCAAGATGGTCACCGGTATCCGGTGTTGAATGAAGTAATTTAACAACTGTCTGGGGAGCGTGAACGTGAATCTTGCGTCACAAGAACATCACATGGCATTTGAGGAGCCGGGAACGTCACAAGACTCTTGGCGTTGATGCACAGAAATGTTATAGTGGCGGTGGTAGTGAGCAAAACACAGCCGTATAAGAACGAGAGCCTTTGCGATCGGGTGGAGTCAGCAAAGACAAATATTTACTTTCTATCGACATTGAAATGCTGGGTGACGGGGTGGATTGTAGATGCTGAGCGAATAATGGTCGAGCTCAAGGTTACGTGTAAAGAGACTTCGTGCAACAGTGGGTTTCATTTCCACCTCATGCTTTATCTAAACCTCACCTTTGGTACCGAAAATTTCAGAATGACTGGATTGCCATTGTCTTTTCCTCACGGACGCCATGAGCAGCAATGCTATTTGGCCTACGAGTTGTTAGATACTAGCTGAACTTCATCTATTTCATAAAATAGGCAATTATGCTGCCAAGAGTAAGTCACATGTTCCGGTGAAGCCTTAGAGCCCTGAAGCATTAAGGTAATTCTTGTGTCTGAGGGAGACACGGACCTTCACTGATGGCAATAAAGATCGTATCTACCTCAACAAGTGCTACTAACTCCGGTTGAGGTCCATCCCCATACAGGTTGTCGTAGTAGAGTTCTTCCTGACATTGCCATATGCCTTAGTAGATTAGCCCAGGGTGTAGCACAGGACTTCTCCATTAGCACTAAATCAAAGATGGTAATTTGCATCATTTTCAAATTAATGGGGATAGTGGAAGTAGACAGGGGAACGTGTCAAGTTGCGAGACGATTCTTCTGCTGTCAATGTGCCTTGGGACATATTTGAGCAATACCCGGGTGTGCGACAGGCCAAATCATCTTCGCACCTGCCTGAAACTGGTCAAGGATTGCAGGATAAAATAGCAACTCTACCGGTGAGAAGACACACTGCATCCAATACACATCGGCGACCTTAACGTAGTCATGTTAGCACAGAGCACTCCTTCC